GATAGGGAGAAAAGGCCCCAAATGTGGGCAGTATCACCACCTACAGGCTGGGACCCAAGTGGACTGAAAACAGAACAACAAAAAAGCCAGCAGAGTGGCAGGACCAGCCTTTCTCTGTTTCTTAGCGGCCATGATGTAAGCTCTGGTGAGAACAGAGTGTGAGAAACCTGTTCAGGTGTGAGAAACCTGTCATGACGGACTGGCACTGCTGAAACCATGAGCCAAACAAATCTCTCTTGAGCTGCATCTACCAGGCATTTTGTTATACCAACACAATAATATAGAAAGTTAATACTGAGAGTTGGGGGTCACTGTGGTGACTATTCCTGGCCATATGGTTCTGAAGTCTTTGGAACTACTTTGTAGGAGAAATTTGGGAAAGGTTGGAGATCTGGACTAGACAAAAGCCCTCAAATGATGCAAGCAGAGCTTAATGGGCAACTCTAGCACTAGCTTAGAAGACTAGAAAGTCAACAGAACATGTGGACAGAAAAGACTGCTCATGAGGATTCAGAGACTGTTTGGGAATTTGACAAACTGCCACAGTGTTACATCTGGTCAAAAAACAAAAACTGTCTAACCTTAATCCATATAATGAAACTCTGCCAGATGCCAAGTTTAAAGGTGACAGACTAATTTGGTGGAGGAAATGTCAAGACACTAAGTCATTCAAGTCATGGCATGGTAATTGATTACTTTTAGTCAAACTGATAGTGAGGATCAGGAGTAAGAAGCAGAACAGAAGAATTTGAAAAACACACATAGTCTAGCCATAGTTAAAATTTGTGGACAAGAAGCGTGTAGTTCTGCTCATTCACTGCTGGTGAGAATGCGAACTCATGCAAGCACTATGGAAAGCAGTGTGGAAAACTCTCAAAACACAAAAAATGTGCTACCATATGACCCAGTTATACCACTCCTTGGCATACACCCAAAGGACTCATCCTACTACACAGATACCTGTACATCCATGCTTGTTGCTGCTCTTTTCACAATAGCTAAGAAATGGAAACAACCTAAATGTCCCTCAACTGAGGAAGAGATTATGAAATGTGGTACATTAACACAATGGAGTTCTACTGAGCAGTAAGAAAAGATGAAATCATGAAATTTGCAGGTAAATGCATGGAACTAGAGACTGTTATATTAAGTGAAGCAACACAAACTCAAAAAAAAACAAGTTACATATGTTCTCCTCATTTGTAGATCACAGCACCAATCTCTTCTATGTGAGTACATATCCTGATGTTACAACAGGAGCCAGGAAAATGGAAAGGAAACATGGAGGTAAAGGAAAAGAAAGAACCTGAAAGACATTATCGTGTGTGTGTGTGTGTGTGTGTGTGTGTGTGTAAGTCTGAGTGTTTGGCTGGGAGGGGAGCGGACATGGACATGCAGGGGGCCATGGTGGGAGAAGAGGGAACTCAGGAGATGGGGGATAGTAGCTGAGGTGGATGTTATTGGGGGAGGGGGAGGTTAATGGTGGCTTGGACTGGGGAGGAAAGATGGGAGGAAGGCGACTGAATGGGGGGTGAGAGTAGAGATGAATCGATCTTGTGGGGCTAGGGAAGCCAGAGGGATATGTGTTGCCTCCAAAATCCCCTGAGAAATGTACATAAGGTATCTGAACATTAGTGTATATATGTATACCTGGGAACACAGTGCCAGACAGGAGAGACCTCCCTTCAGTGGTTGGTCACAGTAGCCTAAGAGACTCCCAAAATAACATAGGTTATTGCCAGAGCACTTGGTTATCTCCCAGAACTGGAAGGTAAGACCCTATGCTGAAGACAGGACATACTTTGGACACAGGACTTGGACCAATGGAGCAGTAACTAACCTGGAAGCTTTCTAACTAAAGTTTACCTCTCACAGTTTTAAAGAATACTATGCAAGCTGCTAAGGAAGAAAACCAACCAATGGTTCAATCCAGCCCTAAATCCTAATAGCTGCAACGACTGGCACAGCAAAGACCTTTTGGTGCAGTAGTGGCACTGTTATTTATCTAATGGAATTTAAAGCCCTCTCAATGATAGTGAACTGATGGGTAGCACTGTAAACACAGTCAAAAACACATGGCTGGAGAGGTCACAGAACCTAGAGAAAACCCTATCTCTGTCATAACTCTAGACAAATGAAACTTCTTACCACATGCTAAATATATTTACAGACAGTATATTGTACACCACTCATCAAAGCTTCTTCTTGCAACAGATGGAGGCTACTTCAGAACCCCACAACTGGACACACAGAGAATATACGTCTGAGAGATGCCCAGTCCTAGGTAGCACATCTACAGCTGAACCTCTACACCTAAAGCTCATGGAACACAATGGAGTGAGTAGAAGAAAACTAGTGCAACCCTCAATTCTCATCAGTGAAGCTTCCTTATACAAGAGAGTGCAATGCACATCGAAGACCACAACTAGACAAGTTTTAAAGGCTGAGACTGCAGAGTGTGTGTCCCTGGATAGGATGTCTGTATTAAACCTCACCCACCCACGGCTCAGGGACCACTGCAGATGAGGGGGTGGAAAGATTTTAGGAGCCAGGGCTGGTTCATGAACACAGGGAAGCAGAGGCTTTCAGGCCACTGGAAGCTTGCACATGTGAACTTGTGGCAACGTGCACAGAACCCATGACAACTCAATCAGACAAGGGGCCCAGAGTAGAGCGAGGGAAATGGGCAGTGGGCCAGCCCTAGTCTGGGAACTACTGAAGACTGATTACTACTAGATGAGGGCGAGTAGGCCTGACTTATGATAGACTGCCTAGACTCCAGTGGATGAATCTGCACCGAAGGACATCTGGGTACAAATGCTTGACTGGATAGGACTCAACACGCATGGAGGAATATATAAGGTTGGGTGGGACGGGGTGAAGAGCACACATGAGGGAGGGGTCTAAATTTGATTGAGAATGGCTGTATAAAATGTGTAAAAGCTCAATAATTTTTTTAAATTAAAAAAGTGTGTGGTTCTTGAAGAAAATTTCCCATTAAAAACAAGTTGAGCATTTTGCACTGGTGTGGCAGGAACGACCTCCCTCCCTAGCACCCTGAACAAAGAAAAGCAATGCAGCATAGTCTGTGTTTGAGTGTACACACACAGTCCTGTCTGTCATAAATTATAGAGCAGAGTACCCACTCAGGATGTGCTACAGTATGTGGGAGACAAAGGAACTGAACTGTGCATGGGGTATTAAAGGCTAAGCTTTTCTTTGTTCCGGACTCTGCTTTAGAAAACTATCTCTCAGGGACTACACCAGTACAATAAATTGCTTCCTGTAAGACTTGGGATCCCTGTTTTCTGTTCAGATTATCTACTATCCTGGCACAATGAAATAGAAACCATGAAAGTATCACAGGAACTGAGCTGATCCAGCCCACTGCAGTCTCAAGGGTATAAAAGTGTGTGAAGTCATTTGAAAGGCTTTCTTTTGACAAGAGCCTATAGGTCACCCTGTTCACATAGCGCCACCCAGAGAAGTATTTTTTCCTCCAGGGTCAAGCACTCAGGCACCAAGAGGCCTCTATAGCCATGGCTTAAGGAAGCCTGGCTTCTGCTTAAGAGAGATGCAGACCTTTTCTTTATCCAATCATACTGGGTTTGCAGGCATGTAGAATGTGAGAGGTTATAGGATCATGGAAGCTTTTACCTGGACTTTTACTTTTATAAGAGAGAGAGTCTCATATAGCCTAGACTGGCCCTAAATTTTTTATGTAGCTGAGGATGACCTTGAACTACAGATCCTCCTGACTCCACCTGCCAAGTGTGGGACTGCAGGCATGTACCACATCTGGCTTGCACCCAGAGTTTGAGGACAGCCTGAGAGGCCAGGATATAGGCAACAGGGTAAGATTCCTTGGGTATTAAGTTACAGTTAGATAGCATCAAGATGTCATGTGTGCTATAGAGAGAACACAATTCATCCCCTATTCTGTTTTCTACTCTAGCATGACAATGCTGCCTTGGATCACATACCTAGATTGAACTTGCACAGGATGTGCAAACTGCTCCAAGGAATACAGGAGAAGAGTAATAGATTAGTGAGGCTACTGGTCTGGGTCTAGATGTGACAAGTGAACTGGAAGATAGTCATAACCAATGCAGGGAGTAGTAAGAGGCCAGGAGGCCATTATTAGTTCCGAGTCTTGGCAGGAGGCACAGGGATCAAGGGAAGGAGTCTAGTGCTTAATTGTAATTTCCCAGCATAAGTGCAATGCAGTGTTAAGAACAGCATCTTAGCTAGGATTAATATGGCATCAGACTGTCAGTTTGTTGGCTTCATTTTCTTGCAATTGCCATAATCCCTGATGTACAGTGTTGTTCAGTTCAAATCATTCCCATTTCAAGGAAACTGAAATTTCCTGAGGTCTGTCAAGGTTCTACCATCAAAAAAGAAGGGAAACATTGAAAGTCAGCTCTTCTGACTTCAGGTTTGACTGTACTGCCTTGTGCCATTATGGTAATGGTTTCTGATCTGCCTTGTCTTATCACTGTAGCTGGGCAGTAGAGGAATCAGCAACACGCAGTTGTACTTTCTCTGCTGGGGTTGATACACTGACACTAGATGAAGTGGTTACTGGTATTTGCTGACTTTTTAAAAATAAAGAATTACAGTTAGGATTAAGAGAGGAACATGCTGAGTGTGAAAGCCCAAGCCTATGATCCCAGAATTTAGGAGGCTGAGGCAGGAGATATTCTGAGATCTTGTCTTAAAAAACAAACAAACCAAAAAACAAAAACAATCCCCCTCAAAAAAAAAGAAAAAGAAAAAGAAAAAGAAAAAGAAAAAGGGAGGAGGTCTTTGACTTGCAAAGCAAGTGGAAGCATTGAATTGACTGAAACAAATGCCTGAAGGAAATGCTACTCAGTTATGTATACTAAAACTCTTCAAACAAAAGTCCCAAATCAAACTTACCTGCTGTAAAAAATAATTCACATATATAGACTCAATATGCTTCTATGTGGTTTTAGTAAAAGATAAATGATATTTACCCTAGCATCCTCTGGGGTCTTGAAGTTAATTATTTTTCCAAATTCTTTGGCATGGAATACAGACTTTACCCGCTCCTATAAACAGAATTTGTAACTTCATTAAAAAGAAAATTCAGTTGTAGAAATACAATAAAGAAATGGTGTACAATCATATCAGTCTATGCTTAGGGTGCCAGTCATATGTACATAAACAAATCTTAAATGAGTCAAGGAAGGGTATCAAGGAAGAGTGAGAGCAAATGGGAAAAAAGGGTATAATCTAACGCATGTTTACCACCAAGTATAAAAGCTTATGGTGAGAGTTCAACTGCTAAAACTATACACGGTTACAGAGATGTGAAGTCTAAGTCTGAGAATGGTTGCCACTGGTTTTCCTTTTCGAATAATTTCCTTTTCAAATAATTTATTAGACAGTTGTAGAATCCTGAGCCCAACTAAAAACTGATACACATACATGTGTGTATAACTATGGACAGGTGCATATGTGGACATATGAATGTACCTACTTGTAACATTTTAAAACAGGCATGGAATAAGGATGTACTTTAGAATCAAAGAAACAGGAGTGAGTCTGGTAACTCCCTCTACTATTTATACCCCTTGGTATTCTGTTCACTACTGACAACTGAAGTGCACTACTTTCCGTTCAAGTTTTAAAAAACTGAACATACCTTTGCTTCAATGCGCAATCTTCTCCCATGGACAATGAATGGCTCTTTGGTAAATTCATCAAAACTGTACTGCCACTCACACGTAAGCTGTCCAAATGTTCCCTTTGTTACGAACAATACACCACTGGGGAGAGGGGAAGAAAATAAAGGATTCACTTTAAATGGAGGAACTTACCCTGGATCAGAAAAAGGCTTCTAACCTTGTTGAACAGAATCAACATACTGAAAATCCTTCGAGGTTTTCCAGGCAAAATCAGGTCCTATCATTGTCAATATTAGAGAAACCAAAAACCAAAAACCATCATCTTTGGAGTCTTATTTTAATCATTTCTTATTCCACTTTGGGACAATAAAAACGTATTTCATTTGTAATTCTACATAATCTCCTTCTTCAAAGGACATTCTTCCACAATTTCTTTTTATAGTTGAAATACCAACTTTAGGTTGGTCACACACACTTCCAGTCACCTCTTGCCTCAGTCTTCTTTCTCTTCAGTCTGAGATTGCTAGGGATTGGGGATGCTGGAATAAGCCTCGTGGTACTCCAGTCCCTAGCTGACCATGCTCCTTCATTATCTGCAGGACTATGTGAAGATGCTGCTGCAGCTGGGAGCGACTGCATAAAATATTCTACTACCAGCATATCTAGTTGTGTGAGTCACTCTGTATTCTTTTAAAAATATTTTATTTTTATGTGTATGAATGTATTGCCTGTGAGTTAAGTGCACCCATGTTGTGCAATGCCTGCAGAGGTCAGAAGAGGGCATCAGATCCCCTGGAACTGGAGTTAGGGACAGTGGTTAGACACCATATGGGTGCTGGGAACTGAACCTGGGTCCTCTGCAAGAGCAGCCAGTGCTCTTAAATGCTGAACCATCTCTCAGACTCACTCTGTTTGTATTCTTATGAAGAGATCCTGTTAGAACTTCTGGGCTGACTTCAACTTGGGTATTTTTTTCAGGGGGTAAAGTTGGCCTTTTAAAGGAGAGTTTTACCTAATTTCTGTACCTACTGAGCTGGTTGAAGCAAATACTAAATTACCTAGATTCTAACTATGTTTATGCATGGCTGTGTTTATCTGTAAGAATGCAAAGCTAAATATGAATTTATGACCACAGTTAGTGGGAATCAGTGACTGCATGGAAACAATGAATATGAATGCCTGTCACACGACACCTTATCAAATTATATTAGAGAAGGAAAGGAAGTTACCGTCTAGTTATCATGAACATATCTGTTTTATTGATCATAACATGGGTAAAATACTTGTACTTCGCAAATCTTCCATTTTCCATGACCTATAAAAAGAATAAGAAAACTGAGGCATTCTATATTACTTTATGTCTCAAAAAGACTTTTCTTAATAAAGAAAATCATTAACATACTTATACAATAAATACATACAGATTTCAAATACAAAATATATTAGAAAACTGAATGAAACATTCAGAAAATTGTTGCTGGTTTCCTTCTTCAAAGTGTTGACTGCACTTGTGGTTATACAGACACAACAATGCCAACCTTTAAGTACTAGACTTTTAGAAGATAATGTTAGCTTACAGGTTTAAATACCACCTAGCGAGTACTGGAGTTTATAACTTTATCTTTGAAACCTATCACATCTGCACAAAACATGTAAGTATATATAAATCTATGCATCTGCATGTTCCCTAGAAATTTCCTATCAGTCTTGCAAATATGCTTTTCTTTGCCCATCTCAGAGCTCATTAAAGACCTGAAACAGAGACTTTCTGGACAAACCCAAGGTCTACTGAGCCTGTGGAACAATTTATAAGCTCACTTTCAAGAGTGTGGAACACTATTATATTGCCCATTAAAATTCTTTGCTCCAGAAAATATAACCATGCATATAATTACTATTTTAAATTCTGTTTTGACATCATCCGCTCAGAGGACGGAAACACCTTGCTATTTAAAACATTGGCTAGCCCATGTGTTAAAGGTAAGCAATGCACTGTGACTAAGATCACTCAAAGTGGCATGTTAAGAATTTAGGCACCTACGAAGTCATGAAGAAATTCCAAGAGGTTATTAAAAGTCTAGTAATTATGTCCCATGAAACTACACTAAAAAGATTAAGATTGTTTAGCTTAAAAGAAAGTTGTGACTTCATGGACATCTTGGCACAAAGACTGGTAGACAAGTCTTCATCTGTATCGGAGATCAATGAACAAAACCCAAAAGTAGGGTGAGACACAGGTCATTTTCATGAAGTAACTTCACATGGAAGTTTCAAACTTCAATTATAAATTAAAGTGAAAAAGGGGCATAACCACAGATTCAGGAGAAAATTATCAAGAATTATTACTTCATAAATTATGCAAATTTGAAAACCTCAATGAAGTCATTTAAGCATATATAAATTATTAAAAGAATGAAATTTTATGGTAACAGTATATCAAAAAAATCCAGGAATCATTTTTGAAATGGAAGAAAGATTCTGTTTCATAGGGGTATTAAAGGCTGATTGATTTATGTCTTATGAATACTATGTGTAAGTTATATGCTAAAGCCATAAACTTTTGATGAGACAGGATCTCATTTTGCAGTGCAGGCTGGCCTTAAACTCCCGATTCTCCTGCTTCATCTTCATGAGTACTGGAAATAGAGGAGAGCACCACCACGCCCAGGATAAGACATTTCACTGAGTGAAAATATTTGAAAATGAAAATCCATGCTTTATTTTTAGATGTTAAGATTCATTACAAGGACCTCACCCACCAGTTCTCTTTCTCTTACTCTCCCTCCCCACCCCCTGGGCCTGGGAAGGGTACTGATGGTAGCAGAAGTAGTTTTCATTTCTAACTTTTACACTCTTTAATCGTGCTTTTTTTGTTTTTGAAAACAGATGAGCTTATAAAAGTATTCTCTTTGTTTTATGGATGAATTCTGAAATCAAGAATACAAACACTAATTTCAATACCATTTTTATAAGAGTCAAGAGTCAATATACCACATTAATAGACTACCATCGTCACACTACATAAAAGCCATGGTTCAACTCCATGTACCTAGTTACTATTGCAGTGTTAAGATTGGGCACTGCAATGGAGTCATCACTTTTCATTTAAAACTAACTGAAATAAAATCTAAGCTGCTCCTTAGATTAAATTAAAACAATTTCAATAGTCACAATAGCATCTGGTATCACTAAGCTACACATATTTTAATGTAACCAGAGTAATACTCTCTGGAATTCATCCTGACCTTCATATGAAACATTGAGAAAATAAACAAACATCATGGTCATAAATTTGAAACATAAAAAACTGTATCCCTTGTTACTATTGCATGTATATTTAAATAAACAAATATAATTCATTGCACAGCAAAACTAATGTCTCCATTACAAAACATGTCAAATTGAACAGCATACGCAGAATTCAAAATTTTGAAACTACAGTCACAGAAGCATGCAAGAGAATGTGATAGGTTATCAGCCACACCAGGCCAGAAATGCCATCCTTTGGGTCACAATTTCCCAGCTCAGCATTCGACTTTATAAATAAGTCTATATGGATATTTATGCTTTTCTAAACATCATCGCATATTTTAGAAAAAAATTCCATAAAATTTAACCTGTATGTTATTGTTTATCCAAACCAATCTCTCCCTTTGTACATGAAAAAACTGAGAATTAGGTGCTTCATCTACCCATCTAAATCTTCACAACTGGTGTATTAAGGTTATAATTAAATGACTTGGTGATTAGTTGCAAAACTAGGCTCAGAACATTGATTTATTCACTTTTTTTTTAATGTGTATAAGTGAATTGCCTGTATGTGAGTGCACCCATGTCACTGACCCATGGAGGTCAGAAGAGGGTTTCGGATCCCCTGGAGCCAGAGCTACAGATGGTTGTTAGCTGCTGTGTGGGTGCTGGGATTCGAACCTGGGTTCTCTGTAAGAGCAATCTTAACCTTTGAGTCATCTCTCCAGCCCCACTTTTATTTTTTTGTATGTATGAATGTTTTGCCTGCATGTGTACAAGCATGCCTGCTACCCACAGAGACCAGGAGAGAGTGTCAAATCTCCAGGAACTGGAGTTACAGATGTTGTGAGCCACCATATGAGTACTGGGAACTGAACGTGGATCCCCCTTAAGAGCAGCAAAGTGTTTTTGATGCTGAGCCTTCTCCCCAGCCCTGGCTTCTTCACTTTTATTTTCAACATTTCTTTTATGATACTGTGATGTTTCCTCTTATAGTATTGGTCACATTTTTCCCATGCTACTTTAAAAATGTCTTTGATAATCCTGCAAGGTACCAATCCTGAGGCAGGCATTGAAGCAGCTAAAGTTGGTTGAATTTTCACAGATCAGCAGTTTAAATATCCTATATTCTTCTATTTCAAAGACATGCTAGTTGTATATGTTTCTACTGAAATAATTTGAGATACCATTTAAAGTAAAATAATGAATAAAATCAAGGTTAAGAATCACTATGTAGAAGCTTTAGATAAAGATCAGTATTTGGCTGAAGAATCAAGGGATGAACAACAGCCAGTACCTCAGGGCATGCTATCCTTATTTTATATGGTGTAGCATTAAGTGAAAAGCAATCTTTGCCTTGTTCGTTAAAAGTGTATATATAAAACTACTTATCATTTGGGAAATTTCTGTTTTTGGTCTTTTTAAAGACAGAGTCTTCCTGCAGTCACAGCTGGCCTGGATTCACTATGGAGACCAGGCTAGCCTTGAACTCACAGAGATCCACCTGCCTCTGCCTCCCAAGACATGTGCCACCACGCCTGGCTTCATTTGGTAAATTTCTAAAAGAAATAAACAGAAACACAAGTGAAACTGCATTCACTACATATGTCAGAATCTATAGGTAACAAAATAGTTACTGGTAAAAAGTTCTTTTTTGCATTAAGAAAAGATGTTTGGTACTTTATCAAATATAAACAAATAAATCCAAATCAAATTAAAATATGATCAATTGGAGCTGGAGACATGGCTCAGTGGTTAAGACCATGTGCTGTTCTTGCTGATGACAAGGGCTTGGTTCCCAGCACCTACACTGCGGTTAACAGCCATCCACAACTACAGTTCCAAGGGATTCATCACCCTCCAAAGGCACTGCATGCACATGGTGCACTTACATTCTTTGAGGTAAAGCACTCATACATACAAGAGTAAAAAACTAAAAAATTTAGATATGATCACTATGGATGACTCTTTTGTAATGGTGTTTCATGGTGGTGTAAGTTTTTGTTTTGCTTCTTAAATGCATTGTGTGTTTTAAAGATAGCAACATGTAGGATTAACAAAAAATGAGCCAGGTGGTACATGTCTGTAATATGAATACTTGAGTGGCTGAGGCAGAAATGAAGTTCCAGGCCAGCCTGGGTTACCTAGGAAGATCCAGGTCAGCCTCCACTAAATAGCAAAATTGTCCCAGGAAAGCCAGAAGAGGAGAGAGAGGAGAGCGAGATGAGGGTCGGAGGCAGAGACAGGCAACTGGACAACCTGCTAAAAAGATTTTTGTCTTTAGAGGACATTATAGTAAATACTAAGATTACAAGAAGCATCAAGCATTTAGAGACTTAAAAATTTGACTAACTCTTTTCAATCTGAAACTTAAGTCCATGACAGAAAGTATCAACCAAGCTTCATGATGAAATGTAGTAAAACCAGTTTTCTCAAAGCTCAACAGTTTCTTTTACAATAAAGTGAAAGGCAAGCCAGTTTAAAAAAAACAAAAACAAAAACAAAAACCCAATCTCATTGATTATATCATCAAATCTTAAGGGGAAGTATTTAATCTCTCATACATTTGTCTCCTCATATGCTAATGAACTATTTTGACTGTCAGTCAAAGCACCAGTATAGGCTATGGTGAGAACTTAGGAAAGCTGAGCATAACCCTTTTTGTATAAAATCAAGTGAAAGAAATTAAATCTCAAGAGATGTGAATTGTTATAAACTTGTACAATCAAAAAAGCCTGGAGAAAACAAAGAATTATGCTCATGAACTAGCTAAACGCACTGATAATGGCAGACTATGAGTTAAATTATGTAATACATTCTAGAAGCACAGTGGGTATGTGAAAAATATTGACATGCATAGTTACAAGCAGTTCAAGCAAGACTTCTATTGATCAATATTTGATACTGATCAATATATACCTTAAATACTAACATTCCTTTAAAAATACTGTGTAAAATATTGCACAATTAGGAGCAGTCCAAATTAATTTACTGTTTCTATTTTTTAACAATTAGTGTGTGGAAACTACAACAGTATTGTAACTATTCCACTAACCTTGAAAGGAA